ATGACTTTAGATGTTAAGCACCATAGCATTACCAGCATTAGTAAAAATTTATTTTTTATCTGGCAAAGTCAAAACTAGTTTCTAATATCAATATCTTTAATATATAAATTGACGTATTGAAAAGAATTAAAGTGCAGTACATTATGATTAAGCAGAATTTGCAGATTTTTGTGTTATAAAGAGTTAATTTGTGCTAAAAATAACATAATAATATTCAAAATATGAAATTCATTGTTATAATTTTTTTTACTGGATTTGTTATTATTCATAATTTTATCAAAATTACGCAAAGATTAGCACTCAAAATTAATTATACTGCATGCTTGTTCTCTATAATTCAATCATTCAAATTCGCTTATGCGTATAAGATTTTAGATCTTTCTTATCGGAGAATAAAAATTCCTATAAATGTAAACTAATAAATGTGAATGAGAAAGTGTAATTATTTGGCGTGTTTTCCAAAAACAAATGAATCATATACAGAACTTAATTAATTGGCTATAAAGGATCTAATTATCTAAATACATTTTAAACTTACAATTATGCAAAAAACATATTCGTACGAAAATGGTATGCATAAAATATATATACAAACGTAATGACGGTATTATAAATTAATAAGTCGTTATTATTATTCTCGAAATGTTGTTCTAAAGAAATTCCATCGAACACTATTATATTGAGCAAAAATAGCATTTTCGAACTATTAATTAAATTAATCTTCACGTGAATCCAGGGCAATAAACAATGAACTTGAAAGTTAAATAAAGAAAATAAGAAAACATTTTCAATTTAAAATGCTAAGTCTTATAAAAAGTCTTGTCAACATATTACAAATGAATTATTTCATCAGAAAATATAAAGTTAGTACACAAACATAGCACTAAACAATCATTTATTGATTTATTAGGAAAACTTTAGAACTAAATCTAATTGAATTTGTAATTTATTAATAGAAAACGTATAGAAATATTAGTTAATATGAAATGTGATCTCATCATGGATAATGGGAACTATTTTAGAAATACCGGGAGGAAAATAACACATTCTAAACTTTGCCTTTGTAAGTACGTAGTTATTCAAATTTGTAATCTAGTAATCTCTTGCAAAAAAGAACATCTATATTATACCACATCTTTGCACTCATGAACATCGAAATAAATAGCTTTTGAACGATTTTTATATTTTATCCAAGTTTAACCATCTACGTACATGTGGTTGATCTACTAATCATTGCTCTTTCTAAAATTCTGAGTGCAAAAATAGCATCAATTTTGATATAGTTTATAAAATTTGAAATAGTTAAACTAAACTTATTTGTCTCCAAATACTAACTAATACATAAACAGAAATTTTTGTTATATAAGAGACTTGATTTCTAGATGTTGGTCACACTTTGAAATTTTTAATTTTTTATTGATTTATCCAAGTACAAATAAGTCATGCTTACTACAGACTATTACCAAAACACTTAGCCAGAAATTAGCTTATCTGTCTTTTAGTAAACACTTGAGTTTGAACAAGATGGAGAAATTGTCTTGTTATATTAAGATATAAAATAAAAGAAATATTGTAGTAAAGTAACAATATCTTGATAACTAGTTATTAGGATCATATGAAACTATCATCATTCGATTTTTCATGTCTAGATAAATCGAATAGCAATATTTTCATGTGATTCTGATCACTAGTTATTGAGATATCACACTGAAAGCTATTATATATGAGATTTTTGCCAATTTCAAGAACAATATCTCAATATCCTGCAATCAAAATCACATGTGTTTTCGATTGTAGAATATCAAGATATTGTTCTTAAAAATTATCACTATTCGATTTGTTTAGACATGATGCATAAAATGGTGATACTTCATGTGATTCTGATCACTAATTATCAAGATATTGCATATTTTTTTACTTTACCAAAATACCCCCATCCTCCCAAAATTAGTAGCACATAAAATGATCATTTTTCTTTTATTACTTGTCATATTATTGTAATTTTTGCCTATATAGAATTGAGTTGGCTCTCTAGCCATAATAAATATACTGATATTTGTACTATCTGTAAAAGTTTTCCTAATTACAATTTTAACTTTGACAAAATATTACATTTTATCTTATATGGTGCACACCATCTAAAGTTATCAAATATTTATTTTTTATAAAATATATAAACTTCTCAACTAAGAAGAAGATTCAAAATTTAATCTGTAAATAAATCTTATTCCATTATATTTACGAATTAAATTTTGAATTTTTTTCTTAGTTGAGAAGTTTATACATTTTATAAAAAATAAAGATTTGATGACTTTAGATGATGGACACCATATTGATATTTACTGTTTTTAATAGTGCATCTAATGATGATAACACAGAATCACTATTATTAGTGCAAATATCATGATTATTATTAGTGCCAATATCATGATTATTATTAGATAAGCAAGTGGTATAGATGTATTGTTATTAATGAATTCTAAGACTAAAGATTCATTCTTGTAGGAAGCAGTATTATTCAATTTATGTTGTGAAGATGGTTCATTCATCCAATATATTGCAATAGCTTTTTGAGATTGTTTTGTACATTTATTTTGCTTTGGCATTTTTTTTATGAACTGGCTTTAAATTTTAAGATATTAAATATTTTTTAACACAATTATTTAGGTTTTTTAAATGTTTTCGACACAATTATCTAAAGCGATTTTGATTTTATCCTTTTTATCCTTAACATAATTGTCATTTTAATTCTTAAAACTTCGAGGTAATTGTTATTTTTGTTCTTAAAAACTTTTGACGTGATTATTATTAATCTTTAAATACTTTTCTTAATCACTGTAGATTAATTAATGACCACGATTATATTACTATTTAAAGATTACCATACGCTTAAAATATAGTAAATGCAATAAATCTTATATTTTATATTAATAAATTGTTGATAAAATAATTACATCTGTTAAATAATTTAAAATTAGTTATTTTTTGAATAAATATAATTTGCAGATATATGTCTTGATTAGTGTTTTGCAACGGGTTCCAGATTTAAACTGTAATAGTGTTAGATCCTTCTCGAAGTTCCAAGACTCAACTCTGATAACTCAGAAGCCCGACACCAGTAGGTTTAAAGTCCTGGAACTTCGAGAAGGATCTAAAACCCTCATAATTCCAATTGGAGTACATGTCACGAAACACTGGTTAAAGCAAATTTTTATAAAATTCAGTGTTATTGGCAAATCGATTTGATTGGCCTGTGATTTGGTACATATCGATTATTGCGGCGTGCATCGTGATCATCAATATTATTTCCTTAAATAGCTATTTGCTTAGTGGCGCAACATTTAAAACATTTGATGATTTGCACCATATACAGACAAAGTCCTTTACAACGGCGCTGTATACATCGGATTCGGCTTATACCGTAATGATATCCCGATTTTTACGATTTTTAACTATTTAAACTCCCTATATAGCGAAGTTTATAATACAAGCCCTATATACCGGCCCAAAAGTGTCAATCCAATGCGGCTGTTGTAAAGGACTTTGACAGTATAAATATAATATAAAAATAAAAAATGATTATACCTAAAAATGGAATGAAGTTTCGGGCATTATCCTTTTCTGCAAATCTGATCTTGTAATCAATAATCTTGAATTTCTACTTTTAGATTTTTAAAGAACGCAGAAGTACGGATCGGAAAAATTAATCCGTCAAATAATTAAATATATCGGTATGACGCAATGTAATATGCTGTTTAATATTTTGTCTATATTCACAAATATACGATGGAATTTCATTTGAATGCATAGGAAGCCATCTTCAATTGACTCTTAGGTAATTAAAAAGGTATTACTAATAAGACACAAAAAATAATTACCATCTGAAAATTATTATAATAAACAAATGTGTCAATGATTAAAGATCCTCACAATTTAACATTTAACATTAAATGGATTTCTTATTTTCTTTATCTAACTTTTAAGTTCATTGTTCATTATCTATTCCAATTCCTAATCAAATACCGGGTTTATGTGAAAAAATAAAAATTTAATTCCCATTGAAGTATTTAACATGTGAAAAAAATAATTTAAGTAATAATTTCGAAAATAAATTTTAAATCAATTTAATATCTGATAGAAATTTCTTTAAACAACGTTTTAAGAATAATCATAATGAAAAGCAATTTATAAATATAATTATTGCATTTTGTAACCCAATTAATTAAGTTCTGTATATAATTATCGAATAAAGAATATTATCATACACCCAATTATTTGTTGCATAGCTTAACTCGAAAAATCTGCAACAGGATCTTTAATTGAATCGGGAATTTTTATTAGAATAAACTAACCGGATGACCTTGAAAGGTAAGATTTACTTTAAAAGTACGTACGTATCGGTATGTTCTATCACTATACGTTGGTATACATGTACATGTATAAGATTTACTTTAGATGTACAAAATACAATGTACACTTGATGCCGATACGGGATATCACTTGATTTGCGTTATCGTCGATATATCGAGTTAAATATGCATTGATTTTTTATTCAAAGTGGCGGAAGGTAACGAATGCGCCATAATTGTGGCAAGATCCACAAGTCATGAGAATGATGTGTAACAAATTAAACGTTAACGTTAAAAGGTTTCCTTTCAAACTTATTGCCGCCGCATAAAATCTAAATGGTAAAAGAAGAAATAGAAAAACTATGAAATTAAAATCACAGGTGTTACTTTTAATGTAATATTACAATATAATCCAAGGAAAATGATTTTTAATTAATCAAATAAAACTGCGGTGACAAGCAATTTTTATTGTTAGCCAAATTTCATATCGAATACGTAATAAATTTTTCAGGTTGTATTACGCACCGGATTTTATAGTCCAAAAAATTATGAATTCAAAGTTTTTAGAAAACAAATAAAAGAAGCCTTTGATCTTTGAGAGTTTTTGTTCTTTGTCATCAAGGAAATCCTGATTTCACACGATAGACCAATATGCCTCCAGCAAACAGTAGATTTAAGTTCAAAGTCTCTCAATCACTTTCGAATGACACGCTTCCAAAAATTGATGTCCCATTCCCGCCAAACCTTGACCCTCGGGAATGTATTACTATCAAAAAAGACGGCAACATACCATTGAAGTCTCCCAATTGCTTCATTTTGTATAGGCTAGCTTTTTATAATGAACTTCGAGCTTCAGGATTTAATGCTAAACAGAAAATTATATCGGAAATGGTTTCGCTATCATGGCAAAAAGAACCTCTAATTGTTAAAAAAACATATAAAGAGCTCGCCCGTAAAGTGCATTATGAGCTTATCAAAATGCGACGGCATTTTTTGGGTTTGACAGATGATATTTCTTCTCTAATTGAATGCCCAGATTCATCAAAAAATATTCCTTGTGACAATGAAGTTAATACTCAATCTATTCAAAAAACTGACGATCAAGCAAATTTGTCGACTACATTTCAAAATAATCAATTTGATCAAAACCAAAATACAAATATAAATACAACCATTTCATTAAAAGTTACTGAGTCTGAAGCTATAAACCTTCGGTTTGAGCCATCGGAGCAAGATATATTTGTTTGTTATTCTCCGGTCTTCCCAGTTGGTCATGATCACCATAACCCAAATTCACCACTTGTTGACATAGCACCATTTGATTTCGATCTAAACTTGCAGATTTTTAACACCACATTCTGTTTGGCAGATGAAATCCACGATGAATTCACTAAAAGTGAAGAATTTTCGCAATCTTTAAATTGTTATAATGAAATCAATTTATTCACAGAATTACCAGAAAATCCGGAAGAGTCAAATAATTCGCATTGCTTTAGTGAAATATTAGAAGCTCATGTCCCTTATTTTACTAGTAATTTTTTTTAAAATATTGTTTTACTTTTACCATATATATTTATCCTATTATTTAAAAAAATATGTATTATCCATCACAATTATCCTTATTGTCTTATCAAATTACTGTATGTGTAGATTACTAAGATAAGTTGTACTATATATTATTAACGTTAAAATTTCGAATTAAATAAATGGAAATCTTGGATTATGAATAAGCTAAATCTTTTTTAATACAGTCAACTCTCTCTATAATGAACTGATGGTTCTATCAGTAAAAAAGTTCGTTATATAAATCATTATTTTTCTATAGAGTCCACTACTCTTTCTATAATAAACTAATATAAAATTTAAAAATTTAACGTTAAGGTTCGTTCATTATAAAGAAGACTAATTAAGTTATGATGACAATCCAGAAATTTATAATGATGCAAATGTCAATGTATATTTTTAAGCAAATCCCAATATTTGAAGGAACTTAAAGCGGATCCAATTCCACGATATATTGAGCATTTATAAATTAAAGGTAATTGGCATCAAACGATTAATGTTTCATGATACATAGTTTGAGCTGTTAGAATTTACGATAATTTTTTAGCGCACAATACTGGAAACAGATTGATGACGCTCGAATAATACGACGTAGCAAAATGATATTTCCGTAATCGGTCAAGTTATTCTATCGGAAATTTGCTCCGATTAATGCGGAAACTTTGTATGTACGTACCACGATTCACAATATACCGAACACAAAAGTGCGAGATTTATACATGTACATGTATAAATTTTATTATTGAACATAAGGAAATTCCCATTTTAACTTTTGTTGATTTTCCTTTATTTCTGATACAATATCAAAATATATTCGCCGCTCATTTATTCAATCTGGTGGAAAATTTTTGCTTTTACAACCATCATGGAATCTTCCGGTCTTTCTTTTAAAATTTTCTACTTATTTAGTTATTTTTTCATTTAAATATACAGTACCAGTTATAAGTAACCTACACCTCCTAACTTGTTGTAAATTCACAACAAGTAAAACAAATCTTGATCCTCAACGTTATTTTATCATTGAAGCATTTCTGTATCGGATTTCATAATGGCTATGATTTTTTCTTTACAAATAATACAAATTTTCATTTACTGTGCAATATCTAGATATCCAGCGAACCGATTCGAGCGAAAATACCACTATTCAATTTGTCTTGACGAATAAAATTGTGGTATTTTCGCTCACTGGACATCAAGATATATTACGTCTCTGAGTTATCAAGCATCGACTTCTGATGAAAATTAAGAATTGCATGTAATTGCCAATGAATAATTAATTACAATAGATTAATGGTAATCACTCCTATCCAGTTGATGATTACCGTAAAGCGCTCTGTATAGTATCCCCTTGTAAAATTTGAACCACAATTTAGTTCAATTTTTTTAGTAAATTAAATTATTTTTTCTGTAAATAATTAAATTAGATTTTCGCTATGCGATTTTTTAAAAAATTTAAACAGCTTGAGGTTAAATTGAGGTTTAAATTTTACAAAGAGGGATAATATACAGAGCGATTTACAGTAATTGCAAATGGGTTCCAAATTTTAAAAAGAATGTAATTATCTTTCTAATAAATTTGCTGTAAAATTGGATAATAAAATGAAATACTGTGTTTTGGCATTAATAAGACCAATAAAAACTATATTATATACCAGAATCAGGATTAATAATGTACATTAAAATAAAAAAAACATGCTGTTTACTTTATTTTTGGACGGTTTAGAGGGGTAGATTACTTATGGCTAGCACTTAATCTTTTTTATTTATTATTCAGGATTTGCAAATACACATAGAATCATACTTATTAATTCTGAAAATTGAATATTTTATAAGCCTCATATCTTGACCACAACACTATTTATATTTTAATTGTTAAAAGGCTCCATATTAAATAAAACATGATAATATTAGTTGGATAAAAGAAGTATAGGAATAATACCAAACAAAAAATCAAAGTTTACCAGAGAAAAACGGAATTTTGGTTTTGTCTGATGAACATTTTTTATTAATATGGAACCTTTGAGCAATTAAAAATATTAATATGTTGTGGTAATTCCATCTATCCATTCGGGGATAGTTTCTAATAACGTGAATTACTATATTAATTTTCTTCTATCAAAACTCCAAAAGAAAATAAGTGGTAGTATAAATTTTTTACCTATAATAAACTTAGTTTAGTATATATATAAAACATTTTTACATTTGGTTTAGCGCGTCAGAATAAAAAACTTTCAAATGTATATTTTTGACATGATATCGGTAATTTCGGTAATCCCGGCTCGGTACCGAAAAATCTCGATAATTTACCGAACCGATCAATTCGGTTAAATAACGGTTTGTAAAAAACTGAACCAACCTGATCGGAGCCCTACGTGAGACTTACAAAAGGTTCAATTCTCCGAGCTCTCAATAATTAATAAATACAATTCTATGTATATCTGCGGAGTCTAAATAATATGACACAATAACTAAAAAAATACATAGTACATAAACAAAAATATATATCACAGGTAGAAAAGGGTCAGTACACTTGGGTTTCCTAATGATTTCATTAAGGTTCATATTATATTCGCCAAAATTCAAATGATTACTAGGAAACTATTAGAACACTACTGGGGGAAATCTGATATTCCGCTAGAGGTTCCATATTTGTGGAAATCTCTAGGTGGAACGACCAAAACTTGAATGGTTTTATGGTGAGTTCTGGCGACCAATCAGAAATTTCAAAACAATGTCGAGTAGCCAATCATATCAAGAACGCAGATCAAAATTTTTTGTGTCGAAAAAAACCCATAAAGCAAAAAATCGCCAATAGCTCGAAATTTTATTAAGTAAACCAGGATTGGGTAACTAGCAAAAAATGCTCAGCTCGAAATTTTGTTTACAATAATATCTTGGGCGATATGATTGTAAGTATAGGTAATAAACACTAATTGTATTAAACAAGTGTTTTTACGGAAATTGATACTACTAGAAGAAAACACTTTGGAAACATTTAAAGTTTTGGTCGTTCCACCGTTTTCCACTTAGTTTTCTTAGTAGTCCTCTAACGGTACGGACCTGGAATCCTGCAGATCACCAGAGGTTTTCTACAACGGAAATCATTACTGAATCTCACCCTTTTACTAGTGTATATTCCAAATAAGAAAATAAACTGAAGAATAAGCAGAAATTTTCCAATGGCTTTAACGGTCTCTTTTATATTGAAGGCTTGCAAATTGTATGCAGAAATAATTGCTAATTTTTGCACGAAACTTTTATAATCATATTTTAGTCAGCATGGTTAATTATTTGTTAAATTAGGACATCAAGACATTGAGGTAATTTTGCATTAATCTTTATGAGTATATTTTAGTCTGTGTGGTTAGTTCTTTGTCAAATTAGGTCCATCAAGACATTAAAATAATGTTTGCATGAATCTTTCATGGACATATTTTAGTCTGCACAGTTAATTATTTGTCAAATTAGATCATCAAGAGATTAAGGTAAAGTGTTGTTACCGCCGGCAGACAAACTTCCTCGATTACGGTTCTTTGGGAATAATCGACATAAAAATGAGTCGCGATGTCAATAACGTCGGATTGCTGATTTCCAAATAAATGTTGCAGCGAATTCCCATCACGATCATTAACAATACCGCAGGTTTCCTAATCCGATAGATTTTTCAGCATGACAACAAGCTCCCCTTTTAATATGCGACACAGAATTACGTCACTCCCCGCGTTCTTTTTACATCGCCTCCTCATATTTTTCAGCATCTCTTCATCATTTTCAGCATCTCCTCATTGTTTTTCAGCATCTCCTCATCATTCAGCGTTTTTGCATCAGTTTTTAGCATCTTCAGCACAGTTCCATTATTTTTCAATTTTGTAACAGTTTCTTTTATAGATAGTACAAAAATAATAACACACAAAAAATGTATAAAAGAATAGTCCACAGGCTACTAATAAAAAAACAGAATTCATATTGTGATCAATTATTCTTCAAGTAAACTACTTGTAAAAATAGAATTCCCATTACATACAATTATTCTCCAAGCGAAATTAAACTTGAATAATTGTGTACATTATTCTCCCCTAAGTAAATTATTGCTTGTAAAACTCTTATCCCATTTCCCTCACTTTAATCATTATATTGATTGTCAGTTAGATTTTTTGTATTATAAAAGAAATTGTTTTATGTATAATCACATTGTTAATAAAAATTATTTTTGTGTGATCATAATTATAATTATTATTTTTAAGAGTTTAAGACTTTTATCTATAAAAAGTAATAGATAAGAAATTCTCTGAATGCTTATTTAAAATACATAGTCTTTCCTTCAAAATCAACACAATTAATAATATTTATAGATATCAATACAGATTCTAGATACTAAAATAAATATCACTTAGTCTAATAATCTCTTTCAAAGTCTTGTTGTATTAAAAATCTCTCAATTTATTCTTAATGATAAGTACAACAATATAATAAATTCTTCTTTATTGTAATAAATACTTATTTATTGTAATAAATACTTCTTTTTTTACTAATATTTATCTTTAATTCTTTTATTAATTTTTATAATATGAATATTATTATTATTTGGTTTTTTATTCTAATAAGTAGTTAAATAATTTATTTATAAGAATTTTTGTTCTTATAAAATATATTAAATATTATTATTAGTTTATTCTTATATTGCTCAGATTTCAAAAGAATACTGAGTTTTCTTGTAATATATATATTTTTTAAAGTTAATATTAAAAAGTTATTAAATTCTTGTTAATTAATAATAATAATATTTAAAAAAGATAATATTAATACAAATATATTACTTAATAATAATTTTTAAATATTTCAAAAAAATTTTTTATATAATCAAGAATAATATTTTTATAAATTAAACTAAATTGAACTTTTATTTAAATTCAAATTTAATTCAAAATTTAACTGAATTTGAACTAAATTTGGCTTGAATTCAAGAAAATTCTAAGTTAAAT